ATCGGTCAAGAAATGAAGAAGTTGCAAGAGGAAGAAAGGATTCAAGGTCATGGCTATGGAAAATGAGAAACTCACGGGAGAGGAGAAGAAAAATGGAGAGAGAATGTCATGTAATTGTGACTTTTAAGTCGCTTAAACCATTAGTGGGTCGCACACGCGATTTAACTTTAATCAATCACCTAATTCCGATCACAAATTCATAATCTACATATTTTTCTGGTCCATGACATATTTTTGTTTCCTAAAAATACTGATAAAAATTTCACTCTTATCGGTGCAATTATACCGCAGTATTTTACACCGGAAAAATCACTATTCATTAAATTTTTCGAAACTTGCCTATCCACTCGATTTTTCGTCCTGAATCCATTTCCGGCATTATTTTTATCATTTGAGGTCTTCTACTCAATTTTTCATGCCTAGGGATACATGTTTGGTAATTTACCATTTTGCCCTTTTCACACAGTTTGGCCTTAATTTTCGGATTTTCGTTAATCCTTCTCTTCTAACCCACATTATAGCATATAATTTCATATTTAGATTTACGAGGTGTTATACTCTATAAATTCTCTGCGGTGGGAGAAAATTACTTCACATTAATGGAGAGAAAAATTAAAATTTCTTGCATTATACTTATGTTTAAAAATTTCTTCAAATTTTGAGTGGGGCGGCCGCCAACCCTAGCACCCCTGGATTCGCCCCTGGGAACAGAGGTATTGCAACTAAGGTGTATTATATAACCTTTATAATTGTAATTTTTACTTGATTTTCGATTTTAAATTTTTTTGAATAATAGGCATTCGGTTGAAACGACAGTTAAGACAGTTTTTTTTTAATCATGTGGATTAATTTTTTATTAAAAGATTTTAGTAACAATTTCAATAACTTCTTTGATTTTATGACGTGGGGCTCAAGTCAATTATTAACCTATATATAAGTCAAAGTGAGAATGTGTCGCTCGATAGATAATATCCGATTAATTCATTACAGATACTTTACGATATTAATCATGGGTCTTATGTTGTATGAGATTTATCTCTCATATTACATTTACATAAAAAGATATTCCTAATTTTTTTCTTATTTTAAAAATTAGTGAGTTCTACTTTATTTGTCTTACGACATATATATCATATTTTTTTATATTGCATGAGATTTAGATTTATCTCTTACATTACATTCACATGAAAAAATGTGCTCTTTTTTTTTCTTTTTTCTTTTTTTATTTTAAAAATTGGTAAGTCCCATTTTATTTGTCTCACAACATATATTACACTCACATAAATTGTATATTGTAATCTTTTATTTGAGTACTTTCTTTTTTTATAATGATATTGAAAGAAAAATGGTCTTGAAGGTCGTAGGAATGTGAGGATGAAAACAAAATTTTCAAAGCGGAATTACACATACCATATCAAGAAACATGCTTTAGGACATGGATGTTACCTTGTTTGCTTTCCAAAACTTGAAGATGATCAAGGTGAGGCTTGAAGATACAAGCCCTCTAATGTTGATCCACACCACCCTTTGTCAAGATGGAAGAACTCTTCTTCAAGGCCACCAACGAACACCAAGGGAGGCAAGCTAGGCGTCCCTAATGGAGAGGTAGGAGGCAAGGTTTCAAGGTGTTTAGTTGAGTGAATTTTCAGCAAGAAAAAACACAAAAGTGGCGCATGGAATTTACTTAGAAAGTGCTAGGTAATTTTCAAAATTCTCTTAAGAAAAACCTCACAAAAGGATGACCAAAGGAGATGAGAGAATGAGTGAATAAAAATCTGATTTCTTCACTCAAAAATCAGCCCTATGTAGCGCACACTAGGAGAGGAATGAGTGGAGTTATTGCAAATCAAATCTTGCCAACAACCTCCTATCATATCCTCATGATATCAAGTGCATATCTCAACAAAAATCTGACTTAACAACCATCATATGACCAGCCATATGGTGCGCCCCATTCAGCCTCAAAACAGTCCAGATACGTTGAGCAGTTGCATTCAAACTTGAACAAACTCACTCACTTATTCTCTCAACAAACCAAATCTTATTGGAGCTCATTTGGTTGATCCTATGACCATCACAAGACCCCAAAATCAGCGCCTCAAATCAGCCTTGGATGATGCTCAAAGATCTCCTCTTGATACTTGGGATTTGTTCCAACAAGATCTTACCTTATCCTTTTGTTATGAAACAACTTTTCATAGCCAATTCAAATTCAAATTCAAACATTTAAATTCAAACATTCAAACATTTAAATTCAAAATTCAAATTCAAAATTTAAATTCTAAACTCTACATTCAAATTTCAAATTTCAAATTCAAAATTTGTATTTCAAAATTCAAAATTTAAATATTTGATAATTAATTTAACTAATTAAATTAATTAATAATGTCTTGGACCATCCAAGCCCATTATATGATCCATGCGCCCTTTTGGTGGGCTTCCAAACTTCTTCTTGGGCTAACAACCATTATTAGGCCCAATACCTTTAATGCTATATTATCATGACAATAAGGTGTGAGTGTGTGACCCATTAGCCCAACATAGCCACTGACATAAATGAGCTTGGACCCAACAAGCCCATAACTCATCTAATGACAACACAGAGCACTAGCAATGCTTTGTTGCCTCAGAGCTAGTTAGGTTAATGACATAATCATCCTATTACACATATTTGGTTACCGTATAGATTTCCTTTCGTCTCGGTTAAATTCCCATTAAACCTAGGGTAAGGAAATGTATCAACCCTTGCGGTTTAGGGAAAGCTTTATTCAAAATAGGGAATCTTCAATTTACTGACTCTAAAGACAAATCATCTCATGATCTCTTTTACTATGCATAGATTCCCGAGTCCTAGTTAATGTCATCCCGATTTCTCCGGTTTACAGATAACCTAATCTCTCACAGAGATTTGACGAATTCCTTCAGCTTATCACCCTAGCCCTGTGCTCTTTCAGGACAAGCCCAACAATGTACCTATCAGTCTCCTTGTTTTAGGCAGACGAGTTATACAATCAAAGCATGCTTTCTAGAACATAGTCTAGGTAATAACTTCTGGTCTAAGGAAAGACATACCCAAATATAAAGAGACTACTCTAATGATACTATCTGTGAGATTTCCTCATAGAGTCTCTTTGTGGGTCTGTTCAGTGCGAGCTATACCCTTATAGGTCCACCTACGACTTTAGCTAAGACATCTCCATATCCGTAGCACAAGAGGTCTTTACCTTGTATCCAAATACAAGTAGATAAGCCGTGCTAGTCTTACCCGAGATCACTGATCCCCATTCTCAGGGTCTCTAGACTAGGAACATAAAATTAGGAATAAACGTGGGGTATCCTTGAATCCTCATGATCGTGATCTCGTCACAGATACTCAAGAGATATTTGTTCTATTCCAAGGGGTTGATCCAGTTACTCATATAAAATATTAACAATAATATTGAGACAAAATATGAAACAGGATAAAAAGTGCTTTTATTTTTTTGCGACAATATAAAAGGTCCACATATGTCATAATCTAATCAAAATATTGTCTCTAGGACGTCCATATACTAACAGATATGGACACTATTTCTTTCGAAAAAACTTGATTAATAAATCTTGAATTAAATCTTACCCGAAAATTCTCACAAAAAAATATAATTGTAAAAAAAATGAATAAAGTTGAGTATGGAACCAAGGTAAAATTATGGATTGGATGAGGAAAACAACCTCTTTGTTATAATGTAACTCTTATGTAACGCCCGACCACTTGCAAGCATCAACGACTATCCCCACACACTAACACGAGATTTTTCAGCGTGCTTTGTCCTCACTCGCACACTTCCCGGGAAAACTTCCCAGGAGGTCACCCATCCCTGAATTGCTCCAAGTCAAGCACGCTTAACTGTGGAGTTCTTCCGATCTGGGCTACCGAAAAGTAGATGCATCTTGTTAGTATAGGTAGTACTAATTAATTCTTATAAGCTATCCTCAACTGTGCTGTCCTATACCAGCACAATCTCTGGAATCCCTCTCTTTCCGGTGTTATTCGATTCATTCATGTACCCCTCCCGCTGATAGTATGCTAGCTCTTCCACTAACCATACATTCAATTGTACATTAGCTCTTCCACTAACCACACAATTGTCAACACTTGGGATGTTACATCTTACATTTGTTCTTGCAAGTTGGGAAATCTTATGCACATAAATTTATCATTTTTGGCCTTATATTAAAAAAAAAACCTTGAAAAGACACGCACTATGGCACGGTTTGTTTTGGCGGTGTGTTATATTCACACGGGAAATTGAGTGGAATTATCTCAGTCGATAATTTGATATTAATTATAATCAAATGTTTTCCATTATATGGCATTCTGTTGGTATTGATATCAATTATAATTCAAAAATTGGAAAATAACATATTAATTAAGTAAATATAAAATTGTTATCAACTATCAAATTGATATCAATGATAACTGAAAAAGTAACTATCAATTTGTTCAATCGGAGAGGTTTAGGATGTCCATGGTTGGTAATTATATCTTGAATCAATATTCATGATTGAAGAGACGCCGCAAGGGATAGTATGTAATTGTGCACAATAATAATGACGTATAGCCAAAGGCGTGAGATGTGTACACAACGACAACTAAGAGAGTATGGAGTTCAGAGAATGTACTTGGTTGGCTTAACCCCTTATTTATAGATGAGTTACCTGGTTGAAGTTGAATTCTAGACCTCTTGGGATTATCAGGGGCCTAATATTCAATCCGTTAGTGATATAAGATTAATATATTATGAGTAAATACCATTTTTCGTCCCTGACAATATTCACGAAATCCCTTTTGGTCCCCAACAATAAAAAAAGCTCATTTTGGTCCTTAATTTTAGAAAAATAGTGCCACGTTAATCATTCTGTTAGTTGAGCTATGACGGCGTCACTAACGTGTCTGACGTGTACTGTTAAGTGGTTGACTCACATTCCACGTCGGACCAAAAACAACATCGTTGAGGTACCTTCAGTTTTTTTTCTTTCTTCTTCTCCTTTCCAATGCAAGTTCTTTCACTTGCAGCACCAAAAGCTGAAACCTTGAACCATTGCAAGTTCTTCTCTCCAATGCAAGTTCTTCTCTGCAAGTGAAGATACATCATTTATATACTTCAGTAACAACTAGCAAAGCACACTGTAACAGCCCGTTGTACACCGGTATTGTTAACATTAATTATGATATTAAGCGCAGTTACAATCACAGCAGTTCATTTATAAAAATGCGAATAAACTTTTTCCGATTATTACGCGAGCATTTAAAACATAAAAAGCGTAATAATTAAAAGTTGTGACCGTAACTGTAAACTCTTGCGGAAGACTTATTCAAACTATTTTTATAACTCACATTACTTATTATAAGATACTAAGGAGTTCCCATAAACTCACTTAGCCAATTTCCAAACTTTACGTTTTTACCTATTCGGACATGTTTCACTCTAGGTTCTTTATGCCAACTAAGCCACTTATTATTTTTGTATTGATCCTTCCACTTGCCAACACCACACAACCCATCAATTACCTTTTTAACACATAATTCATCACTCAAATAATTTCCAACAACATCAATTCCCTATTTTTCCTTTAAAGACTAAATTGCAACCTATGGCAATTCTAGGATTTCCATTCAATTTTAATCATTCCAATTCTCACACAACCTATTATATCATCATATTATCATAACCCAATTCATCAACCAAAGTCTCAACATCAAAATTCACAAGTTCAAAGTCATGATCACCAAATTTTTCTAAGTTAAATTCATCAATTTTCACCAATAAATTTCATCGCATTTCTAGCATTAATACATCATTCTAAGGCATTATCATCTAATACACATTTTCCAATTGAGCTCTCTAACAACACAAATCATCAAATTCCCCCTTAGGGTTCATGAATTCAATCCAAGAATTAAACCGTTAAAATGGTGAAGAAACTTACTCAAAAGCTTGGCACAAGACTCCTCCAAGCTATCCTAAACCATTGGAGCTCCAAACAACTCCATGAACACCATTTTTCTCCAAAATTCCGTGGCTGTAAATGGCCAATATCTCACCAAAGAGAGAGTTTCAAGGCTCAAGAGTGGTACCAATGTGTTTAGAAGGTGATTTCCATTGAATTTCAACACAAAAATCACTTGATTTAGTTAAGAAATGATGTAGTTATGGAGAAAAGAAAATCAAACCAAAAATGGCACCAAAAGGGGGGGGGGGGGGGCTGCTGTTTCACGGGAAGGAGAAGGAAATGGAGAGAGAAAGTGTCATAAAATTGAGACTTTTGAGTCACTTAAACCATAGGTGGGTCCCACACGCGATTTACTTTAATCAATCACTAGTTACAGCCACAAATTCATGACCTACATATGTTTCTTGTTCATGTCATATTTTTGTTTCCTAAAAATACTGATAAAATTTTCACGCTTATCGGTACAATTATACCGCACTATTTTTACACCGAAAATCACTATTCATCAATTTTTCCCAAAATGACTCAATTCCATCAAATTTCATCAAAATCATATTTCCTAACTCAACAAACCATTTATAACTCATATTTGAAACCTAGAGCTCAAAACTCAATCGGCACGTTTTACGGTGCAATCGTACCGCGGTATTTTTACCCGTGAAAACACTATTCACTGATTTTTCTGAAACTTGCCTGTCCACTCAATTTTTCGTTCTGAACCCATTTCCAGGGTTATTTTTACCATCTGAGACCTTCTACTCAATTTTTATCTTCCTAGGGTTGCGTGTTGGCTAATTACCGTTTTGCCCTTTCTTTGTATTTTGGCCTAATCTTTAGGATTTTCACTAATCCATCACTTGATTGCTCACTTAATATTTTAATTACTTGATTTAAAATTGTGAGGTGTTATATTCACCCCAACTTTTTAGAATTTTGTCCGCAAAATTAAATCATACCTGTCCGCTAACTCAGGATATAGCCGGAGAATCTCATCCTCCCGCTCCCAAGTAGCCTCCTCAGTTGTACGTCCTTCCCATTGAACTTTAAGCATTGGAATCACTTTGCTTCTAAGCTTCTTTTCACTGCGGTCAAGGACCTCACTAGGACCTATAGGAACCTTCAAATTCTCTCTGATTTCAATGTCGTCCGGTATCACCACATGTGATTCATCCGGAATGTAACGCCGTAGCTGCGATACATGGAAAACATCGTGCAGATTTGACAACTGTGGGGGCAAGGCAAGCTGATAGGCCACTGGTCTTACTCTTTTCATTACCTGATACGGACCAATAAAGCGAGGACTCAGCTTCCTCACGCCCAATGCACGTCCAACACCGGTAACTGGAGATAACCGTACAAACGCATGATCACCTTCTTCAAATTCAAGCGGTCTGTGTCTATTATCATAGTAACTTTTCTGCCGATTCTGTGCCTGTTTAAGTTTTTCTCTGATCATTTCAATCTGTGCTGTAGTTTCTTGCACAAAATCCGGCCCAAACCTCTCTTTATCGCCTACCTCTGTCCAACAAGTCGGAGTACGACATCTACGCCCATACAATGCCTCATATGGAGCCATGCCCAAACTGGAGTGATAACTGTTATTATAAGAGATTTCTACCAGTGATAAATATATGTCCCAAGCAGTGCCCTGCTCAAGTGTACAAGCTCTCAACATATCCTCGAGTGTCTGTATGGTCCTCTCAGTCTGACCATCAGTCTGCGGGTGATACGCAGTGCTCAGCCGAAGCTGAGTGCCAAAAGCCTGCTGCAAGGCTCCCCAAAAACAAGAAGTAAACTTCGGATCCCGGTCACTCACAATGCTAACCGGTATTCCGTGGAGCCTTACAATCTCTGTCACATATAACTTTGCCAATTTCTCAGTAGAAAAGTCCACTCGCACTGGAAGAAAATGTGCAGACTTCGTAAGTCTGTCCACTATAACCCAAATCGAATCATGACCAGCCTGAGTCCGAGGCAAACCAACAACAAAATCCATGGAGATGCTCTCCCATTTCCACTATGGTATATCTAACGGCTGAAGTAACCCTGCCGGTCTCTGATGTTCTATTTTAACCTTCTGACAAATCAAGCACTTTGACACATATTCAGCCACATCCTTCTTCATCCCAGGCCACCAGAACTTAATTTTCAGATCTTGATACATTTTTGTGGCACCCGGGTGTACAGCAAACTGACCCTTATGGGCCTCAACCATTACCTCTCCTGCTAACTCCTTGGGCACTACAATTCTGCCCTGATACAATAACAATCCCTGCTCATTCACAGATATTCCACTCTGCCCTTTCAAATATTTGACACTGTCGTTCCGTATCTGTGTTTCTTTAATCTTCTCATATAATTTATTTTCCACCCGACAGCTCTCATGCAACCCATCTGTAACCCGTGTAGTCCAGAATTCATCCACACTCCCAATAAAGACATCTGTCAGTTTCAAGTCACAGAATTGCTCAATTAATTCATTATCCCACAACATCAACTGGGATACACTGACAGACTTCCTACTCAATGCATCTGCTACCACATTAGCCTTACCCGGATTGTATTTCAACTCAAAATCATAATCTTTTAGAAATTCAACCCACCTCCGTTGTCTCATGTTCAGCTCTTTCTGATCAAACAAATACTTTAGACTCTTGTGATCACTGAACACAGCAAATTTCATCCCATACAGAAAATGCCTCCAAATTATCAAGGCAAATACTATGGCAGCAAGCTCCAAATCGTGTGTCGGATAATTCTCTTCATGAGGCCTCAACTGCCTCGAAGCATAAGCAACAACTCTCCTTTCTTGCATCAACACACACCCCAAACCTTTCTTGGAAGCATCACAATATAATTCAAACTCACCTTCCGGATCGGGGAGGGTCAACACAGGAGCAGGAGTCAATTTCTCTTTAAGGCTCGGAAAACAACTCTCACATTCCTGAGTCCACACAAAAGGAGTATCCTTTCGTGTCAATTAGGTCAATGGCAATACCATTGTAGAAAACCCCTCAATAAACCTCCGATAATATCCAGCAAGACCCAGAAAGTTGCGGATTTCAGTAACAGTTTTTGGTCGTTCCCAGTACATAACAGCATCAATTTTATTTGGGTCAACAGCAACACCCCTCTCAGAAATAACATGACCCAGAAACTGTATCTCAGATAACCAGAATTCACACTTTGACGGCTTCGCATACAACTTTTTATCCTTTAACACCTGTAACACAGTCCTCAAATGCTCACCATGCTCCTCTCTGTTCTTAGAGTATATCAAGATGTCGTCGATAAACACGATCACAAACTGATCCAAATACGGTTTAAAAATACGATTCATGTAGTCCATGAACACTGCCGGGGCATTTGTAAGCCCAAAAGGAATCACCTGATACTCGTAGTGTCCATATCTAGAACGAAAAGCCGTTTTAGGCACATCCTCTGGCCTAATCCGAATCTGATGGTATCCGGACCGGAGATCAATCTTTGAAAACACGCAGGCACCCCTCAACTGATACAACAAGTCATCAATACGCGGCAATGGGTACCTGTTCTTAACCGTAACTTTATTCAATTTCCGGTAATCAGTACACAGTCTCATGCTTCCATCCTTCTTTTTCACAAAGATCACAGGTGCTCCCCACGGGGACACACTCAGCCTAATAAAATCCTTTGCAGACAACTCCTCTATATGTTTCTTCAACTCAGCTAACTCAAGTGGCGCCATCCGGTATGGAGCCAATGAAATAGGCCCCACACCGGGCAACAATTCAATAGAAAATTCAATCTCTCTCTCAAGTGGAAATTCCGGTATCTCATCAGGGAATACATCCGCAAAACTCATTAACCACCGGAATCGTAGAAATTTCAATCTCCTTGCCACCCACTAGACCACCCAAGAAAATATAACCCTGATCCCCAGCCTTCAAGGCTTTAATAGCATTGCACATAGATAAAAAGGGAGACGGAGTAACCGAGGGCTTCTCATGAGACAATATCAACCTCTTGCCACAGCAATCAATCATTGCACAGTTTTGAGATAACCAATCCATGCCCAATATCAAATTAACAGAGGCCAGGGGCAATATAATTAAGTCAATAGTGTAACCCCTGCCTTCGTAGACAAACCCGACCTCTTTGCAAATGAAGGAGGAATCACTAACCTCCCCTGTAGCCGTAGTAATACGCATAGGGGGAATCATCCGTGATACTTTTAATCCAACCCCTTAGCCACATATTCCGCCACGAACGAGTGCGTAGCTCCAGAATCAAATAAAACAGATAAATCAATATTAGAAATGAAAATTGTACCTTTTACCAAATTTGGCGCCTTCGTCGTCTGCTGTGCATTAGTAGTATAAACACGCCCAACTGTAGGTGCAGCTGGCAAGGTCTGCAGATTCGCAGCCTGCCCAGTATTGCTCTGACAATTGTTGGCATAATGCCCAACCTTTCCACATCTGAAACAAGTCACCTGATTAACAGTACAAGGCCCTTGATGAAACCTGTTACACTTATCACAACGAGGAGCAGAATTTCTGTCATTATTCCCACTTCTCTGACCACCACCCTTTTTAAACTGACCTGGGGGTTGTCTTACTTGCAACCCCCCACCTCTATTATTGTTTTGATGGTAGCCACCTCTGTTATTATTGCCGGGAGGAGCAGATGTCCTCAAAGAACCAGATTTTGGATATCTGTTGTAGACACTTTCAACCCGTTTACACTGGGTCACAAGATCTGCAAAGTTTCTCACAACAGTATTAGACATCCTCTTCGCAATTTTCTCATTCAAACCCCTCTGAAATTTAGCAGAAAGAAACTCAGGGGTAGGCAGTACGCCCCCATAATTGGCAAATTTCACCAAATCATTAAACTTTGTCACATAAGCATCAATATTTCAAATTCACCCTGTTTAGCTTCCCGGACATCCCTGGGAAAGTATTCCTCATGAAACAGTCTCTCAAATAAAGC